GCAGGGAGGTATGGTCGGACTTCTCCCCCCTACGTAGGTTATATAAAAGTATATACACGCAACTCTCACCTAAAAATTACCTCAACCTGATTTATAAAGACCTAACACACACGCACTATTAAAAAGTTACATCAAAGATATGCAAATAAGCAGGGATGACAATAATCAAATAAATTACTACAGATTTACAACTTCGTAGAAATATTGTCGAGATATCAATTTAGAGTTTATTGATCAAATGATAAACTTTGTGAGTGATGTTTCCCTCACAACAAAACAAGAAACAAGAAAATAAAAATCAGTTATTGAATTTACAGAACTTCCTTATATAACATTAAACATAAAAGTATTTACATATTTACTAATAGAGACATTTCATTCACATTTGATTTACATAAACCAATTTCGTGACAATATTATGGTCTCGACATCTCCCTGTGACTGGAAATTTCCTAATGTACTCAAGACAAATCCACATCACCAGTTTTGGTAAACTGGGAAGCGTCCACCTGAAGACCATGGTTTCTGGCTAATGGCCCTCGTCAGCCCAGGAAGGAAACCCACCCTAGACTGACAAAGGCCTTTAGCAGGAAACCATGGTTTCCAGGTGGACGCTTCTCTGATTACCAAAACTAAAATTGTAGCTTTGTTACCGACCCGAAGCCGCTAGTTTGCGGCAACAGTAAAAAGATGGCGTCTAGTTTTGACGGGAGAGGTGACTTTTCTTTTTATAGAATAACTAGACGAATGACCCGGGCAACGCCCGGGTTTACCCGATTAAATGTTTTATTCAAACACTATTCGTTACAATTAGAAATTGGCGCCGTGGATGTCACTCTTGTGAAACGTCCCGCTCCAAACTTTACATGTACATTAGGTCAGCTGATATTACCTCCCATCTTCACCGCTAGAGGCGCTGCTCGCGAGCTAAGTAGAATAATTTGAATATATAGTTTAAATAATTGATTTATATATTTTTAAAAATAGCCTATCGTCTTCCCCGTAATTTTTTACCTATGTATAGAAATTTTGGTTTGAATTAGTGAACTACTGCGAATTTGTATACCGGACATACAAACAAACAAACATACAAACATTGATTTTATATATATATAGATATCCTCCCGGCAAACACTTTCGATTTAAAGCTATGTTATTATTATTTTTGTTTTGGTTTCCCCTTATTCCGGGAAACACGTATAGCAGTCGCCATCTACCCGAGTTGTTCTTCTGACATACACACATGGAAAAAACTTAAGAATGTGAAAAGTCTTTGATATCTCCAATCGTCTTTTTTTTTTTTTTAAGGAAACACAGGCAATTTTGTTTACACTTGTTTATCTCGTGTGTCTTCAATAAAGGTCACTTTAATATCTTTCAGAGTTATTGTCTCAATCCCGATATACATGCTGAAAGGTATAACTTCCTTAAGTTTTGTCCATGAGTATAAGTCTTATTGTTTTTTTTTTTTACGATTCGCCAGTGGAAGTCCAATATATGAGGTGACCACTATGTGGATTTATTCCTTGGAAAATTCTCTAGAAATTAGGAAATGGACTTAGTTGATGTCAAATATATGTAAAAAATTGACATTAAATAAAAATTGTAATATTCATATTGAAATTAATTAAAAATATATCATTATAAGTATCTTTTCATTTTATTGTGGAAAAGCAAGTTTTTTTTTTTTTTTTTTTATTTATTTATTGTTACAAAAGCACGAAGTCCAAAGGACTATTGTGCTGTGCTAGTATTATTTACATATATATGATTGATTATTTACACGATGGATTAGTAGTGTTTTCTAAATTATTGTACAAATAGTTCTAAACTTAACAAAGTTCTCATGAGATTGAGTATATACAGCTTTAGAACAAAGATATATTTCTAGTGGCTTATCAAAATTAAAAGTAAAGAGAGAAATATTCTATAACACATACATTTTAACAATAAAAAAAGTTACTTATTTTATAAAATTTAAAATTAATTTCTTTTAAAAGTGTGAAAATATTGCACAAAATAGCAACAAATGTATAATTTGAAAAAAAAATAGTACAAATGTGATATTGTACTGGGATTTGGTGCATAAATTATGAAAATGGTATCTCCTTATCGTGCAAATGAAAGTTGCTGATTGCTCGCGCCATTTATCAGAATAAATATCAACTATTCTCGTTGATTTTTAATTATTCCAGAATTTTTTCATTGTTTCGCGGTCTCACGTAATTCTAGCGTTAACTACTTTTTTCATGATTTTTCAGGATGCCTTAATAACCAGTTTTTTGGTCGTTGAGCTACAGCTTGCACCACGCTGACAAGAACCAACAATTCGAAACGCGTACATGGTTAGCTTTTCTTGATTAATCAAGCTTGGGTATCTTGGCCAAATCTGGAATAATTAAAAAAATCAATATAATAGTTGATATTTATTCCGATAGATGGCGCAAGCCATCATCAACCTTCATTTTCACGATAAGGATATGCCTTTTTCTATTTTACTAATGTATAATCTGTTCTTAAAATAAGAAGCACTTCGGCCAGTTAAGTTTTTATTTTTTTCGACGTTTCGACACAAAATATTTTGTCCTCGTTATGAAAAAAAAAAAAGCTTTATGTAATGCAAGCATATCAAACTCAAATCCTAACACGGGCCAAATAAAAAGGTAATAAGATTATGTGGGCCGCAAAAAAAGAAAACAAGTACTTAAATTTTTATAGTAACATTTATGTAGGTTTATTTTGAAAAATACTAATAAGAAAAAAGAAAGTAAATTTAATATTTTCTCCCTGATATTTGGCGTCTCTTTTCTGCTACCATCTTTCCTACTTCGGGGGAAATCTTGTTCGCAGTGATTAATTTTAAAACTGACCCAAGGTGAACGTCAGTAATTCTCGATCTGATTGGAGACTTATTTCCTTTCATAAGTGAAAATAACTGCTCGCACCGATAAGTACTTCCAAACATGGACATAATTTCATAGGCTAATTTTCGAGTGTTTTCAAATCTGGCTGGCAAATATTTGTAAAATTCAGAAACGCCAACTTCAATGAATTTTGCCTTTAAATCTGAATCGTACTGGATATCTATTACCTCCATTTGCATATGATTAGGTACTGATTCTATATTTATCGAGAAAATCAAAGAAAACAAAGTAAACTTGCCTTCCAAAGATTTGAAATCAGAAAACCTTGTTTCAAATTCATTTCTAAGACTTAAAATTTTTTCCGCATATTTTTGATACGATGCAGTTTCCCCTAAACTTGATTTGTACATGTTGCATGTCGGAAATTGCATTAAATCTTCGTTTTTCAACTGCTTTTCCCAAAAAACTAGCTTACATTTGAATGCATTAACTTGGTCACACATGTTGGTAATGATCTGATCCTTTCCTTGCAGTTTCAAATTTAAATCCGACAAGTGTTTTGTTATGTCAACCATGAAGGAAAATTCTTGCAACCATACTTGATCGGAAAACAAAGTGATGTCTTGATTCTTGGTTATTAAAAACTGACATATTTCTTCTTTCAAGTCCCAAAATTGTTTGAGAACCTTGGAGCATGATAGCCAACGTAACTCGGTATAGTATGATAAACCTGAATATTCGCTTTATAATTCAGTTAAGAACAGAGAGAACTGTCGCTGATTTAAACCTCGAGATCTTATGAAAATGATGCATTTTTTTTTTATAGGTGTCAACACATTTTCCATTTTTATTACCTTCGTACATAATACCTCCTGATGTATAATGCAATGCGTATGATGAATATCGGAACCATCAGAAATTTCACTTAGTTTTTTTCGCAGTAATGCTACGAAACCGTTGGTTTTTCCAGTCATTGAAGAAGCTCCATCTGTTGCTACAGAAGTCAATTTTGATTGAGGTAAATTGTATTTTTGCAGAAGATCATAAACGCAATTAAATATATCTTCTCCTGTAGTAGTGCCTTACATCGGTACTAGTTCCAATAATTCCTCAAAAATGTTGAAATCCGTGTCGCAAGCTCGAAAAAAAAAAACAGATAACTGAGCTACGCCCCCAATGTCCGCACTCTCATCACAGGCAATGGAAAATGCTTCGAAACAAGATGATTTTTCTTTTATCTGATCATTCAAATTTCTGGCCATATCAGTAACTCTTTCCACAACGGTATTTCGAGACAAAGATATTGCTTGAAATGTCTTCACACTTCCAGGACAAACAATTTCTGCAGCTTTAATTAAACATTCCTTGATGAAATCACCTTCAGTAAAAGGTTTTGAGTGTTTAGCTATCATCTCCGATAAAACGTAGCTTGCATGCACCGCCGCTTCACTCTCTTGTGATACTTTAGTAAACATAAACTGTTGTTTTTAGGCTACAAATTTTTATTATTATTTTTTTAATTTATAATTTTTTTTAAATTAAAATATATTGTCTGGTGGGCCGCATGAGGCCCGCGGGCCGCGAGTTTGACATGCTTGATGTAATGACTATTGGCCGAAGTGTCTGTTCTTTTAAGAACAATGAATATCACCAAGCAACCTTTATATCTTCAAAACAAGTATAGTCTATAGAACCTTAATTTATATTTTTTATTCACAGAATAAATAAAAATATATACACCAATACCTCGCTTTGCGTCGTTTCGTTTTGCGTTTTTTTTTTTAAGTTGCGTCGCTGCTTAATTTTTACTAATTTTCACTGTGCGTCGTTAGATTTTCGAAGTTGCAATGTTTTGGATTCGAGTCTTTAATTTTTTTTTATTTTTTTTTCCCTAAAATATGGCAACACCTTTGTTTTTGATTGCGCCTTCACATATTTTTACTTTGCGTCGTTTCGATTTGCGTCGTGTGTTTTTTGGAACGTAACCCCGACGCAAAGCGAGGTATGGGTGTATATAATTAACTAAAATAATATAATATAAAACGTAGCAATGTTTTTCTTTATTCGTGCAAAGTACAAGCTTTCGGAACTTTATAATCTTTCTTCAGACATAATATTTAAGAAAGGAAAAATAGGTCCAGGGTAGCTTAGTGGACATGGCATCTGCCCGGTAAGCGGAACACTGTGGATTCGATTCCCATCCCTGGACACTTTTATTTTTACGTTTATCATTACTCTTCACAATTCATCCTTTCATACTTCATCTCTAAGGTTAGAAATAGTCGTTATTTCTCCTTAAAAATAAATTTCGATTTTTCGTTTGAAAGAAACATATGCGGGATAGAGTTTTAAAATGTCGATTTACAGGTAAAGCTGTAACTATGTAAAGTTGAAGCTATGTCTGTAGAAGGATTATAAAGATCCGAAAGCTTTCACTTTGCTCGAATAAAGAAACACATTGCTACAGTTTATATTCTTATTTTATACTTTATAGCCATTTTCTCTTCCAATATATAAGGTTGTCCTAAAAGTTCGTGTTTTTCTTAAATCGTTGTTTTTATTATTACTTGCCGATTACATAATACAATTAATTAAAAATGCATATATTAAAGATTTATTTATTTTAAGATTACACCTTTCAGTGCTGCGTATATAAGCAGAATCGTCCAATACAGTATTAGAGCTCTTAGAAGCGGTCTGGTGGATTAAATTGGCGAAACCGCTGGGAGGGTTCACCACTGATGAGCCAAGCCCTCCCAATATATTTTTTCATCGCAGTAAGGACAGTAGAAGTTTGTATTATGTATAAAAGAAACATTTGTGATTTTAAATTCTTTTATTTTATATGTATAGATGGCGCGTTATTGATTTGTATTAAAGATTTATTTATAGATTGCTCTATTTTCAAAATAATACAATTTCAAAGACATATACAGTGGACCCTCGGTTTGCGAGCATAATCCGTTCCAGAGCCATGCTCGTACTCCAAAACGTTCGTAGTGCGAAACTAATTTCTTATTTTTAATAATTGAAACTCGGGCAATTCTTCTTGCTACGAACAATTGCACAGTTTCCCACATTTTACATATTTCCCGAATCTGATCTGAAGGTAGGGATCCCAGTGAATTTTCAACCATCACGATTACGGGCAACCATCAGGAGTTGCTCGTAATGCGAAATTTCACTCGTAATCCGAGGTAAAATTTTTCAAAAAATTTTGCTCGTACTGCGAAAAGCTCGTACTCCAAGGTGCTCGTAAACCGAGGGTCCACTGTATACATAACGGCGAATAATATTGGTATTTTAATATTTTTGCAAATGTTTACGAACTTTCGGGACAACCTTGTAAATAATCTATTGATAATCTAAAATTTAAATTAATATTTAAAATATAAATGAGAAATAATTATTTAAAATAATTTATAAAACTAGGCGCATAAATTCTCGATTACAACAATACAGATAAAGTTCATTTAAAAGATATTGTTATGGGGTAGAAACTGGACAAAGGCAATCAATAAACAATATAATAATTAAATAGAAATGGTTTCAAGTTTTCATCCGGGAGGTTGTTAAATCCATCAAGTTGGGGGTCGTCCAAACTCAATTACTGGAAACATCAATTAGAGCCTGTAGGCAAATTTCACAAGGAAAAATACCTTCTCTGAAAACTTCTTGAAAGTTATTGGCAGAAATTCTATCCCTTCATTTCTCCTTCTGTTGGGGACATGGGGGGGTGGAGGGGGGGGGGATATGTATTGACATCGCTCTCAAGTATGGAAAGTTGTAAATATGCAATTAATACGGAATGAAATATTCCTTTAATATATATATAATATTAACACATTAAATATGTTATAACACCTTGATAAAGGTTGGCATTCAGCCAACTGAAATATTGGTAAAAAAAATGATATTTTGATCCAATATATTCCTTTTTAATTGAAGATTTATTTATGGATTGCTCTATTTTCAAATCAATATAATAATGAATAAAACGAATTTTTCGATAGAGTGAGAATGATTTTTTTTTTTAATTTTATTTTTAATGTAATCTCAAGCTTTCGGGCCTCTACCTTTCTATAGGAGTGAAAAACGAGTATATAGTAAATAGTAGTCAAATTAATTAATATTGTAGTGTATTTGCATATTGAAGTATGGATATGCAAATATCCTGTTTTGCATAATGGTTTTCATAGAAATTTGTATATAAATGCGACAGTTTTTAGCTAGCAGGCGTTCAGTCAATTGATGTCAATAAACGAGATTACTGGAGTCCGTTTTGCCTCAGTAAAGCGACACCTCACTCTTGGTTACCTCCCAACCTTCAAGGATAAAACAAATATAATATTTGGATAACGATTTTATTTAATATTTTAACTACTCTCTATATTAAAGTTGATGATGTGCATGTCCTCATTTCTTCTGTAATTCTTTTTTTTTTTATCACAAATTTGCATAGTTTCCTATTCTGTTATTGTCAACACCCGCAGTTCTCTCCTGATCCTGAACACATATAGCCCTGTAATATTAAAAAAGGAAGCTAATTCAAAAATGATTAATAAATCGAAACCTGTATCCATATCATTGAAACACAATATGTAACAATGTCTAATTAATAAGTATAATTGGTACATGTACTTAATTACATAACGATTAATCAATTCCTATGGAAAATATTTCCGTTTATTCATAGCCCTAACACAAACAACGCCTGTACACATAGTTTCCATTTAAACACATCATCAACGTACTTTTTTTCCTCTTAAAATAATTTAAAGAAAATTATTTATTAAACAAAATTAATCGAATCACAAAATAATGAAATCAAACTATATGCAAATATATAAATTTACATAAACCTCAAATTTACCTAATTACATATCTATATTAATGAAATGCAAATTTCATAAGTGGTGTTCGCTAAAAACTTTCGTTACAATGCATCAATTTAGACCAAATTTTCAACATTTATGTAAAACGAGATGGAGCAGGTTTTGCTTAACATCAAAATATTTTTCCTAACTTTAAAATACATAACTTTGCTGTTATCGATTAAATAAAAAAAATCAACAGAGTTAATTTTATTTATATATAAATACAAAAAAAAAATTCAGCAATTCATTCAACTCAATCTAAAAAAATATTCAAAACAAGCAATTTTAAGATAACACCATATGTAAAACAGTCGGCCAAGAAAATAACAACGATATTACATCTTTCTCACATATTCACACACAATCTTGATTAATAATTAAAACTAATCTTTAACATTGTTTATTATACTTCATAATATATAATATTCGTTAGGCAAACTTTCACTCGGATAAAACCCGGGCGAAGCCGGGTACACATCCGCTAGTTAGCAATGTAAAGAGAAAGATAAATTCAGAACGTTTTATTTAAAAGAAAAGTATTGCAAAGTTTATTTAACTTTATTTTCAATTCGATATATGCAATTATTATTGTAATTACATATTTACATATACCTTCGCTATCTGAGTGATTGGCTCATCAATATAAAGAGGAAAATTAATTCAGAACGTTTTATTTAAATTAAAGGTATTGCAAAGTTTATTTAACTTTATTCTCAATTCGATATATGCAATTATTATTGTTATTACATATTTACATATACCTTCGGTACAACGTATAAAAGTGAGATGTTGAAATGGAAGAGAAAAGACATAAAAAAAAGTTGAAGAAAAGGATAGCTGGTCATCCTTTTTACGCTCCGTTCAATGCAATTAGAGCGTGGGAGACAAATAGCTTGTCGCTCCATGCAGATTTCTTTTCTCAGCATTTTTATTTTGTTATTTATTTCACTTATTTTCTAAGCTTGTAGCAGACATTTTGATTCACCTCGTAGAATCTGTGAATCCACTTTGTGGTATTTTATAATAAATAAATCCTATCTAACTTTATTGTTTTAGAACACGATGACAAATTTTTGAATATTTTCATTCATTTGATGTTTTCAATCTTGATTTGTTTTTTTTAAATGTGTGTAGATGGAACGATTCAACATTTTGTGTGCTTTTAATTCTGTTGAACGAATATGTCTATTTTGAAAATAGAGCAATCCATAAATAAATCTTTAATTTAAAAATGCATATATTGGTAAAATAAATGATATTTTGATCCAATATATGCAGTTTTAATTAAAGAATATTTCTATATAATCAGTGAATAAAAGATGAAAAATATTTGGGAAAACTTGACCATTGACCAACCTATATATGACACTTTCTGTTATACAACCATTTAGCTGTCTCAATCCCCATTGCCTTTGTTGTTATCCATTTCCACTAACATTAGAAATAACTTGTCCAAGTGTGCTGGGAATTTTTTTAACGCTGTTTATAAAATATACTCATGGAAAAAAACTTAAGGAAGTCGAAAGTCCTTGATATATCACCGGTCATCTGCTTTTATAAAGGAAACAGAGGGCTGTTCACATTTGGTTTATCTCGTGTGTCTTCAATAAAGGTCACTGTAATATCTTTCAGAGTTATTGTCTCAATCCTGATATACATGCTGAAAGGTACAATTTCCTAAGGTTGTGTATATTAGTGTAAATAAATGAAAGAATTTGCATATATATAAATATTTTAAAAAATACATCTCCTAATGATGCAATTAAAGGTTTTTGATGGCTTGCGCCATCTGTCGGAATAAATATCAACTAATCGTTGATTTTTCAATTATTCCAGAATTAGCAAAAACTATCCTTTCCTGATTAATCAAGATTGAATGACGTTAGAAACATAATGAGAGAAAATGGATAAGAAAACAGGTAGATGTTGGGAAAAATTGAAGGAAGAAAGAAACACCTTCAATGAGCTTGCTAGAAAGGGTCAAGAATGCTACAGGAAGATCACTAGATGATCTGTGAGTGTGGTCACATTAAAAGATCAAATTGGAGAATATTTGTCCATAGTGTCACCAAAAGTTGACTTGATGGACCCTAACAACATAGAACGACGTTTGACAATTTTACCGCGAATGTTTCTTTTGAACAAAAAATCGTAATATATTTTAAGGAGAAATAACGACTATTTCTATCCTTACGTATGAAGTATGAAAAAATGAATTGTGAAGAGTAATGATAAACGGAAAAATAAAAGTGTTTAGGGATGGGAATCGAACCTACAGTGTTCCGTTTACCGGGCAGATGCCATGTTCACTAGGCTACCCTGGATATATTTT